AACTGCTTAAGCTGAGATTTCAGATTGTCACTGATAGGATTTAACTTCCATTTCCCATCGGACTTAATACTAATTTGTACATGTTTACGATCCCACAGAAAAGAACTATAATGCATATTAGATTGTTTTCATAAAACGCCGAGAAAGTTATCCTTTTTATTAATACCCTTTAAAATGGTAAATATATGGAATAATAATAATTCAGTTTATAACTCTCCTCCCCGCAAGCTCATATGAAATGTATCGGGCGTGTAAGTTCACAAAGAACAAAATAAGATTTATGCCGATTGTGGCCTTCTGGGTTGTAACACCGTATAACCTATGCAGTTACCAGCGTTCGGAAGGAATTTATCGCTTGCATATATGTACGGCTTCACAGCCCAAAAGACCACAACTGACCTCCACCAGAACCTCAGAGCGAAAGAAAATGTCTTAATTTCTTTATATGTTACTCTGATTCCAGATTTTACGAAGTACAGATTTATCGCCCATAAAATTGTTTTCTTAAAACTCCAGTGTGCCAGGCAAACACAAAAACCTTCATTTTGATATACTGCAGTACAATAGAAGATTGCATCTGTACAAGTTTTTGTACTCTGAGGAATCCATTCATTTACCTAGAATGAGAATAAAACCTTTACAAGAACACAGCGCAAACTCTTCTTTTTCTTGTTCTTGCCAGGTTCCTATAGGCAGACAGCTTCTCTGCGTGGCTGAGCTCCGGCCTATGAAATATCAGACATTCCCAAACACTAAATCTCCCCTCACGCACTTCATCTCTTGAATACTAATCATGAAAAGCAGCCAATCTCCCTCAAACCTACCCGCACCTTACCAGTCTCCCAGAACAAGCTACATTATGTTTCGAAATATCGCAACCAAAAACCTGAAATGGGTTATTAGTTTCAAGGCAGGCGGTACCTTCTCTGATGGAAGACCTGGGTTCAGTCCCAAAGTAAGATTCGTAGTGGACGAAATTTCGCTGGGACACGTTCTTATGGAATATCTTTTGCTTCTCCTCATTCCACAGATGATTCATTCTAGTCTATCATCACCCCATGAGGTGCGCGACAGCCCTGATCAAGCAACACGTAATTGGAATAAAAGTAGTCATATTAATGGCAACTGAGAAACTGGACAGAAAAATAGAGTTAGCATGTGTTATATTAAAATTTTTAAATTATATATAGAAAGCTACAGTAATGAAAGTGTGTTCATTTACTAATTAGAAGAAGTATACGACGCTGATAGTGGCCTTTCGACGAGCTGATCACTCGTCCAAGGAGTCTTATCAAATGTCTAAACAGAAAAAGTAACCTTAAAAACAGAGGCTGCCAAGACCATCACTGCATTGTAGAGTCAGATATGAGATGAGAAGATTCGACACTGATGTTAATTTGAATGAAAATTGTCAAATGATTATCAATGTTGTTCAGTCTTATATATTCGAAGCAATGTGCTTTGACCAATAATATTGGAGCAGGCTTTAAACTAACTTTATTTATCAACATCACATCCATGCGAAACCCCGAATTTGTAACGATACTATAATAAATTTATTAATGTGTGCCCGTGGATATCATATTTCAGTATTCAGTATCCCAAAAATATAAAAATTCTGTAAAAGATTAATGTGTGTATAAATTCAAATAACAACTGTGAATGCACAGTTTTGTGTGATTCTGTTAAGTATGGAAACCTGGGAATACTGTATAAAGATAAATGATAAACAGTAATGTGTTCTGTAGGATTAAATTACAAATAAATGACTGCGCAAAACATTCTTGTTTCCAGACACTTTGTGACAACTTACACCGGTGACATTTATGCACAGAAATAAATGACCACGTTATAAAGTCCATAACTTATGGCTCCTACTGAACTGTCTATAGGGTACGAAAGCATATGAATTTCAAATTTTTCATATCAACAGCGAATAAAAAACCTCTCGTACGAGAAATTAATTATTACGAATAATGTTGTGTCAAATCTGTAAAAAAACATTAACAACAGATTATAAACCCATAAAAATTCTGTTTTCCTACATTAAGAACAGTATAAACCCATAAAAATTCTGTTTTCCTTCGGCAGAAACACATGCAAAAATTACTTTGGCATTATAATCAATATCGGCCTTAACTTGTTCATTTTATTAGTCCACTGTGTAAAACGTACATTACCGTGCGCAAAAGGCAGCAAAGAGGTAGGAAAATCAACATTACAGTCTGCGAAAATCCTACCAGAAAACAAATAAATTATTTGTTTAAAGATATTTTAAAATAATATCTTCTGGAAATAGGGGTGGAGGATGTAGACTGAAGTCAGAATAGTATTCGGAGGCAGGTTTTTGTGAACACGATAATGAAGCTTCTGGTTCCATGAAAAGCGCGGAATTTCTTAGCTGCTGAGCGAACTATCTGCTGCTCATGAAGGACTCTGATCTTCGGAATTAGCTCTTTTGGAATAAACCCTAGGAAACAAATGCCTCGGGCAGACCAATATGAGCTCCATGGTCGACTGATTGCAGTGAGTTAAGTTTGCGTTTCACATCATCTTGACGCTTGGTCACTAGGACCGTGGGTTGAATCCCACTCAAGCCATGGATGTTTGTCCGCGTTTTTCTGTGTTGTGCTGTCCTGTGTACAGGCAGAGGCCTTGTGACGGGCTGATCACTCGTCCAAGGAGTCCTACCAAATGTATGATTACTGAAACCTCTTAAAAGGAGGAACCTATGTTCCACGAGATGCGAAACGTGTATGAGAAAAAATCACATATAGAAACACCAAAATGTAGCGTTAGGAAACGGGATGCGGGTTTCGTTGTGATCTATATTCTGGATCGCGTGTAGTTAGCAGGAGTAAACTCCATTGCACTCAGTAACAGAGTGCACTTATTTTGTAACAGCACTGTTTTCGAGAGCAGAAACAGTGCGCAGAGAAATTTATTCTGAAAACTATAGAGGAAAAGAAGACATTACTTTTAATGCTGTGCCTTATCTTCATAGGGCTCTATAAAATATAAACTTTCAGTTTACCTTCCTCCCCTACTACATCTAATGGAATACAAATTTTATGTTAAAAGCTGTGGCAAGGTGGCTTCTCAATAGATATACACAAACGATATGTAAGAAACTACAAATAAATCTGAAATGAATACATCGCTGGCCTCTACCTACAAACCTAATGGTTTCAACTGCAATGTTAATTTATCTCTTGTTTTGCTTGGGAGTGAACTTTGTCTCCTGCCCGAGGGCAGATCATTAGACCTGAACGCACATGAGAAGGAAATTCTGAAAAGTCTGTTTAAAACACGAGAGAGAGGGTAACAAAATATGGAAAGTTACAAATTGTAGTCTTCGCCAAATACTGTTTACAATTATTTTGATAAGGGCAACATTCTTACAGGGCATTTCGCACAAATGTGAGTTGATATAGGCTACAAGACATAGAAATAAGGCATAATAGAATTTGAAGAAAATCCTACCAAAATATGTCGCAGTTTCTTAAAGCATTTTACTTTTAGTTATGTAGCTGTGTCGCATAGTGAAGGACGTGACAGGGCGTCTGTATTACGAATGTCAGTACGTACACGTGTTTGTGTGGGACACACGAAGTCAGAATGGGTGTCTTTATGCTCCATTTGACTGTCGTGTCTTCTTCTCTCTAATGTCTGCCAATATAAACGCCTATGGGGACGCATCATCGACAGAGATCGAAAATAATAAAGGCTTGGTGCAGAGGTAGCGGGAAACGGGAGCCTGAAACAAAAGGCTCTGACATGCTACAGGGTGTTTCGAGAAGTCTTTGACAGCCGAGTTGTGAGCTATTTGAACACGACCAACATTTGTTCACGTGTTGAAAGTTGTGTATAGATTCTATAGGGTAAATGCTGTGAAAAATATATCGACGTGGTTTTCACTAGGACTAAGTAAGTAATTATTTTCATCTTCAGTTAAAAGTTGGATCCAAAGTGTATATTTAATCTCGCGTTTTCTCAAGAAGTACAGTTCAAAGCTAGAAATTCTAATGTGAAAAAGTATGCTAATAACAATGTGTGTTATTATTATTGTTGTTTAATTCCCATGTTTTTATCCAAGATACTCACTTCAAAACAAGTGCCTTTTCATAAAGATATAAACAAATCATATCAAGAAAATTAATTTCAGATACCCATTGGTATTTGATTAAAAGTATATATACGCACGCAAGCAGACAAATCAGTTATGGGTTCTCCCTTCCAAACACTTCTCTATCCAGAAAATACTGTAAGATATTAATATGACATTTTCACAATATTCGGTATAAACAATATCTAGTTATATTATGAAAAATGTGTTTAGATGAAACCTATAGGCGTATTAGGTATAGGTCAAATTAGTCTGATGCATTTCCCACTTAGAATGCTCTGAAACAAGAATTGTCTTTGAACTTTACGTAGAATACGCCATCAAGGCGATCAAAAAAAAAAGGGCTTACAACTGAAAGTTGTACATCAGCTTTTGGACTATGCTGTTGTTAATTTATTGGGTTCATAGGAATAGAATAATTAAACTTCAGGTTTAATAAATGGCGAGGAATTTCTTGACTAGATGAGCGTTCTATTAGCTTATCAAGGACTCTGCTCCATGGACTGTCTCTCTCTTCCAAGAGGCATATTTAATTTTGTGACCTCGGAATGACACAGTCAACACAAATTAACTCCTACCTTAAATGTCAGATTTGGGGGTCAGATAGTATATTTATGCACACAGGTACATACAAAGAACTCATTTGAGTGGACTGGCAAAGTTAAACGTAAACAAAATAAAGACAATGTGAAACAGTCATACCAACTTGATAATGTGAATATCGATATAATTCTCAACATTCCCTATTTTTCCCTGTCAGTTTATTCCCTCCCAAAATTTGGGCCCGGAATACCGGGTTTTTTCTTAACTTCTCATTTCTGCTTTCGACTGAATGTAAACAACAACGCATTCTTAGTAGGCAGAGGTTACTCACGCTTCGGCAATTTCGTCTTCGGATAGAGAGTGTCCAATGTCCACTACGCAAGTGTCTGGTGACCCAATGCCGATTTGAACATGGTACAAAAGGATGAAGTCTTTTTTTCTTCGGAAATCGAACCCCGATCGCTCAGTCTATTCACTTACACCTTCTCGTGTGCTGTGAGAACAAACAGGTCCATAATATTCTTCAGCATCTTTTGTTACATTTTCATAGTAACTGAGATATTGAGACACGCTGTACCAGCATGCACACTGCCCCTTTCCACTAGAACGAATAAACAGAATTCATTCATGCGTAACGTTTTATAATGTACGACGACTCTAGCATCATTGATGGGGGTGAGTACGTCGTGGTGGGGTGTAGTAGGAGCGGTCCAAACCTTTAGTTTGTTTGTTGAATATACGAAACGGGTTATTGAGTCTGGATGGTTCTTTTCGACATGTAGCTCCATATTTGAGAGGTTAGGGTGGATCATGAAAACAAGCGAAAGTGGGTGGAAGAGGATACAGAACTGCGCATGAGCACGGAAACCTGCTTGCAGAATGTTTCAAAAGCAAGGAACAGAAGAACAAGATGGTTTCGGCGACAGACAGTCCAAAGTGTACGATTTATCGCTACATTGTTTATGAGGAAACGTGTGTTTTAAGCAGAATAACACAAATACGAAATTTGGCGTACACAAACCGTTCTCTGTAGACCAGTGATCATCACTCCACAATCTCTTCTCAGTCCAGAAAATTGCTATCCTCACAGGGACAAATGACCGTGATTAAAGGACCAACATTAGACTCTATCAAGAACGTCATGTACATGTTTGCTGGTTCTGTTTCATTCGAGTAAACAAGTAATGTAAAATTTATTAAATTTGCACATCTGTAGATTTACTGCACAACGCAGCAAGTAATGTAAAAATTATTAAATTTACACATCTGTAGATTTACTGCACAACGCATCAAACTGAAGGCAAGGATAAAATTAAAATGAAAGTTCACCCCTGAGAAATGTCACCAAATATCATGGGTGAGCGGTTAGTACTCCTGTTTCATAATTGGGAGGCCTGTAGCTCAAATATCAATCCGAAGACTAGCTACCCTCACTGAGGTTTATCCTGGTTTGCCTCAGCCCCTCCAGGTAAATCCTGGAAAAGTATCTTACTTTAGGTAACCGACCACTTCCTTCTGCATCTTCTCCAATACATGATTCATTCGATCATCAAAACATTAGACGCTATTCCAAGTCCTTATTTTGTATAGCCCTGTCCTAGCAAAGTACCTCGCATATAAGCTAATAACATTTCTTAATTACTCATGTTATAAAAATTTGTTCGTTATAATAGGCGAAGCAGTAAAATGTAGTGATAACTTTCATAAGGGTAAGCCTATCCAATTAATTTTTAGCCAAACAATAGATCCTATTAATTATTTTATAGTCAAGACTTCTGCGAGTAAATCAGACCTAACTTACACTCCTGATTAAGAATATTACATTATCCTACCATCATGGCGGATATCAATATGTACAGTAATAGTTCCATCATTATTGCAGCTAGCATTTGAAGCTCTCATAATGACTAAAAGTGATGAAGTATTATCAGCTGATCATCCGTGACAATTTGTGATTTCCTTGTGTCAATTTCGGAAAATTTTCTTCCACATACGAGTCCCATTTCTGTACTAATACACTAATACTTAAGAAGCTATCAAAACAAATCATAAACAAACACAAATTAATATGAAAACATTATACACTCTCAAGAAAGCACAGAAGTTGACCTGACGTACAGAAAAATTTAAGTAACTTTTTGAAAGATGGCTCTCTTCTGTGATGTTCCGGCTTTATCAGGGAGATCCTGTTGTAAAGTCGGTAAGGGTCTACCAGAATACACAGCGCAACATCCCAGACGACAGCCAACTTCATATTCACAGCCGTCAGAAACTTAAATCTGACGTCACTAGTTTCCCTCAAGCAATTCCAGGGCAACCTATTAATTTCATTACTATACATTAATATATTGTGCAGGACAACTTTCTTAGCAAATAAATGAATTTATGGCTAATTTATCAACTTAATGTAGCCTGTACTTTTAGTAGTGTGCCTTTGCTACCAACATTATGAGACAGGATACTGAAATCAAAAATACTGTACGTATTAGTGCGAACGCATGACAATACCTGTCATGGTGTGCTCTTACAGAAAATGACAACAAGAAACAAGATCCAATTAACTTGCGAGCCTAAACTTCTTTTCTTAAAATAACCCGCCTCCGCGTGCTTCCTGATCTTTGAAATTATGTCAAAATAAAATCACCGATATATAACGAAAATAAATTAAATGTCCAATTGACGATTATAAGAGTTGGAAAAGCTATGGAGGCAAGTGGTAGACCATGGTGTTCTCTGGCAAAAAACAGTGATACTAGAGGAAAGCTGATAAATCCTCAAGACTCGAAATGCGGACCTCGAAGGCAAATGCTATCTTCTCGGTTTCGGTCTAGGAATACAATATTCGTTACATGACATTTGAGAGAAAGCCAATGTTATGAAGACGATCTCTGGTCATATTTTTGTTCTACCGATATCGAAAATAAATCATATATATAGTCGCAAGAATTAAATTAAGATTTCTTATCTCGTTTCCTCTCTATTTGTTGTCTTTCCTGCTTATTTTGTATTATTTTTCACATCGTTTCCACATGCAAGAGGGAAGATTCGCTTATAGGCCACTTAATTTATCTGTGGGGCATTTCAAGCTTCATCGTCCGTGTATACAGATAGGCGAAAACCTTTCTTTTCAACTTCTTCGAATGGGAACATGACTGGCCTATGTCACATCAACCGCTTACCTAAAGCTAATTCACACAAAACTGAAGGGAACAAATCTCAAGACGAATCAACCTCAGTCTAAGTAAATACACATTTGATAACGTGGAATTTAGATAGCTCGGGGTCCATTCGTCAGTATATTGCAATTCCTATAATGTAAACTAGACTCCTTGCAAAATAATATTTTATTGTAAATTTATGTGGATTTCCTTACGTTTTTTGAATTCAGTGACCACGATCGTTAATCTATCTGAATAGCCACTATTCCGTAATCTGTACACAATAATTTCTACGCAACAATTCTACATTTCTTAAGATCTTCTTGCATCATTTCTTATACGACAATACGCAGCAACTTGCATACCTCAGGTAATGTTGCACACAAGATGCAGTGGTTGGAAATGTGATACGTTAGCATGGAATTTCTCTTTTAAGCTTAGTAACGATAAGCATTATGGACTCTTTATACAGAGAGAAAACGTCAGCTCCGTAAGTTAATGCGAGAAACTGAATCCTTGGGACCAACACATAATAAATCAAGACTTTGCGTCACTGTTATTCGTAAACATATCTCATTTTCTTAATTTTAGCATATTCGTTGTTTCAATATATATTTCAAAGGAATAATATTTTTTTAATAAGGACATTAACATTATTTCAAAAGTTACTTTCGCACAAGCTGTCATCTTAGTCATTCTAGCGTATATACCCTTTATTTCGAATACGGATTTGCAAATGAGACGCAGCAGTGGACAGCTGATGGACGATTTCTGTGACTCTTACACCACTTTGGTATCAACAAATGAGCGACAGCTCTGTAGGTTCTACTCATATATTCATAATACGTTGTTTTTGTAATAACTCAAAAACTTAATTACTTTTCAAAAATTCTGCGAAATTTGGATACAAACTACAGTTTATCTGTGGGCGTTACACGTGAAATTCACTTCAAGAAGAAAGAAGTAACTAAAGGGTTAAAATATTATTTTATTACTTAAAACAGGTGTGTGATGAGCTTAAAAATCTGTACACTTCCCCCAATATTGTCAGGGTGATTAAGTAAAGAAGAATGAGATGGGCGGGCCATGTAGCGCGCATGGATGGGACAAGAGGTGTGCACCGGGTACTGGTTGGGAAACCTGAGGGGAAGAGACCGCTGGGGAGACCTAGACGTAGATGGGAGAATAATCTCAGGCGGGATCTATGGGAAATAGGCGTTGAAGGAGACTGGATTCTATTGGCCTAGGACAGGATTCGGTGGAGGGCTTTGGTTAATTCGGTGATGAACCATCGGGTTCCGTAAGCCATGTATAGTTAGTTAGTTAGTTAGTGTGAATAAAAATACCTACAATTCGTTTAGGGACACAATGTAAATTACGGTAACACTAGCTGTAGCTTCGAGGCAGCGTCCCTTCGAAGCACGTAACAGTTCGAACTGCAAATAAATCATATCTTTTGCGAGTTTCACATAATTAAAAACAACAAAAATTCAAGAATAGGGTTTTTTATATGTGAGTCTCTTTTTCATCTCCTTTTTCTATTCACTGATTTTCATTTTCTATGTTAACAGTCGTTCATGTCATAACCGGCAATAAAATTCATAATACTATTTTCAGCGTGTTAAGAATAATGGTACATAATTTCCCTGAATCAATGTTACTGAAGTCGGGGATGTTCATTCTTGCTTTATAATGGAATTAATGCTCTTCTCACAGGCCTATCTCAAAACAAAGCACTTAATTTGAAAATACTAAAACAAGAAGTTAAAATTATCGTGATATAATTTATAACAGTGGAAACGCATGAAAGTATCTTCTTCTAAATCACAATGGCGGATAATCTTATAGTGCATTCAAGTTCCTTTCGTTCACGCGCCCGTATTCCTCTACGTCTGTTAGCTAGGATAATAAGTGCGCCTTTCTATTCTACAAAAAGTGATTTGTACCAACAGCCGTTTCATTGCTTGGCTACTATTACGTCCATATTTATACGCAATCTATTTTCGCGCCTATTACACAACTTGGCAACAGGATTAACAAAATTACTATTCAGTGTCATGGAGAAAATAATAGAGCACTGGATAATGAGAATAATCCTAAACAGGTTTATTCATAAGTCTATCATAATAGCCTGAATAAGCAATTTCATTATTTGAGCAGGTCTATGGTTTATTACAATAAGGCAATGAGTGGATTCTTTTTATGTAAATTGTAATCTACCTAGTTCTCAAACAGTTGATTTGCTTTTCGTTTTGCTTGTGTAGTAATGCGTTTAACGTGGCTACTCCATGAATGCACCAAAGCAAGGGGAAAAACCTCAGATCCAGTTTTTGCGGCAATAGGATCGGTGAGTCAGTGACAGTTTAAAAAATGGCAGTTCACTGCGGTAATAAATTTGAGTCACGAGATAATTTTAGTATTGACTGGCGATATTTAGAATTAAAATAGAGGCGTAGTAAATGAGTTTAGGTTTAGGGACATATTGATCAGCGTACCCGGAACAACAGAAAAATCAGCAGTGACAAAAACTTATGTGAAACGAGCATCTGTGTTGACTTAAGACTCACGCAAAAACATTTTATTCTAGCAGAATTGGGGCACATGTGGACTCCTGTTTAGTAACATCTTTATTTACTTTTCCCTTCGTGGAATGTATCATTTTAACACGAACATTTACCTTGACTTTCAAAATATGTTATAGATAAATTGTACTTTCAAAACATGTGGGTTTATGGCAAGCAATTTCATCCATAAATGAGAAATATTAAGCAATGCTTGGACTAGAAATAATGAAAACCGAAGAAGAAATTTATGACGCCACATAGTGGTGTTCCATTTCCTAAGAGCTAATGTATTACAATGAAACCTTCGTGTCTGATATCTTCTTTCTTGCTTAG